CAACACGGAAAGGACCTGTATGTCTGTAGGTATGGACCTGTGTCCTCATTGAGCCATTACTACTACGTACGTGCTTGAGAACTCAAGAGGAAACAACAGAATACTCACTGACCCCTCTTGGGCCGAACCGTGCTATTCCCTCATTTAGAAGACCTGCACTTATTCTTTCATCAGGAATCGGCAGTCAAGACAAAGACCAGCCAGCTGCTTCCGTTCGGGGTCACCAATGGACACCCCTGCACTACTGAAAAAGATAGGTCTCCAGATAGGTTGTTCACCAATGCGTGCAGGGGTGTCCAATCTGCGTGTTTCATCCAATCTTTCATCAGTGCAGAGCACCCTTCCTCTCTCCCTTGAGGCCGAATTCTCGCCCATCCCTCGCGTGGACATCTCGATCAGCTCACCGACATCAAAGGAGACGGTCTGCCAGGGAAGCCCAGTTGGACCATCAAACAGCCAGATGGCAGTTTGCCCAATGGATCAGGGTCAGATGGGTTCAAGATATCAGAATAGCAGGGTAAACAGCCCGGCGAACTCGTGAACCTTCTGTTGTTTCCGCATATTCATGGCAAGAGCCAGATAGGCAACATCTCCTCCGGCCGTGGAAGGCAAGATCTTGCCTTTCCGCGTTTTCCTCCTCCCCCACCTACAGTCATTTCTGAGCAACTGGAATCAACTGGGGAGTGTAGAGTCCCAAAAAACCCGTATACCGTCTGAAGTTCCGGGATTTCGGCCGCCCCTCCGGCGGCCGCCTCCCCATGGGGAAAGTCCCAAACCGGGTGAGAACCGCCGGTTCACGGAACCCGCGAACCCTCGGACGTTCCACGGGTCCGTGACCGTCAGGTGAAGCGAACGCCCCCTGGGCGAGCTCCATGTTCTCGGTACGCTCCCAGAGCAAAGCACAGCCGATTCGTTGCAGATGACGCGACGTCGAGCCGAACATGGAGCGAACCGAGACAGAGAGCGAAACGAGACGAAGGCCGCCTCCGTCTGCGGAGCTCAGTTGGGCCCGTCTCCAAGGCTTGCAGCCTCTACTGGTGTGACCAAGACGTCGTTCCGTCAGGGGCCCCATCCGCGGCGCGCGGCGGGCGCCCGCGGATGGCTCAGCTTCAGAGGTCCTACTACTGGTCCTACTGCTGCTACTCCTACTACTGCTGCTACTACTGCTAGTAGTACTAGTGCTAGCAGTACTTTTGCTGGTAGTATGATTCCGAAACAACTAATGCCACCACTCCTGCGGTTGAGAATGCTGTTGAAGAAGACTTCCATGAACTCAGTAGTAGCTGTCTTCAGACGCAGTGTCTGAGGCTGCCGAATGCAGGTGCGGAGCCAAGTGCGCAAGACGTGCCACTCTCTGTAACAGTGGCTTTGGTCGGTGTTCGAGAGGGTCATTTTCTGATTGAAGGGGCAGTGCACTGTGGGGCAAGGATCTTGTGAGTGGCAGAGCGGCATATAGGTCTCATTGCATGAGACATGGGTACAAGCCATCCTCCAATCTACTTCTCTACCAGCTACCTTTGACAGGAATGATCAGAGAATACCACAGTTTTAATTGCCTGTGGCTCTTGATTTCCAGGTGTTTCTTGTCTCTCAAAGCGCGTGCTCGCGCTGTCATGTGCTGTCACTCACCAGCTCCGCTCTGCTCCGCTCTGCTCCGATGCCAGACGAATGTTGGTCGACCGGAGTTCAGCCGGGGGACCCGGAGTTCAGCCGCGTCGAGGGGCTGGAGGGAGAAGACGAGCGAAGAAAGGCCTACTACTACTGGGAGCTTTGTGCTTCCTCAAAGTCCGATCTGGCTTGCGGACGCTGATGGGTGGACTGTATATGATCGTGAACTGTATCTGATCCCAGAATGTGGTGCGGTTTTTGCGCCTTGTGGCTTGGACGAATCAACCACCAAAAGATCTTGGTTTTGGTCCCTTCTGATGGTCAAACCATCAGAACCCACCAAAGCATGGCGCTGGAGAGCCATCCTTTTCAATTACGGTGATTTCGGTGGTCTTCTGCTGTCCCTCATGCACTTTCCGGGCTCTACGATGCGGAGTTTCATTTTTTTTGCACTGGAATCTATCCCAAATGACATATAGATACTGTATATATAACCCAGCATAACACTTTCCCCATCAGCCAGGTGATTTATTTTGCAGACCCTGCGCGTGACCTTGTTAGTTTTCACGTGATCCAAATGCAGAATCCGATCGCCCAACACCTACAGCACAGCTTTCAGCACACAGCACAGCTTTCCTTTCTCCAGTGTGGAGACCCACGGGGCAAGTCGGTGCAACACGATGCAGCACAAGCTAAGCAGTAACTACATAGCTGCGATAAGGAATGGCGCCGGTGTATTTGTTTCCAACAGCTCTGGGAAATCATGTACGGACATCACGAGGACATCTCTTTGGTAGGCTCTTTCAGCGATGTTTTTCAAAACAACGTCAGGTCCTCCAGCGGCGCAGGACAGGGATTCACCGAGTTTGTCGGTTGTGTCAACACCCTTGGGAGGTATACCTCGATGACGGGAGGATTCAACCTGATCCCGGATCAAGGTTGCACTCAACATGTGAGACTTTCAACGGACTATTCAATGGGCACATTTTGTGGTTTGCCATGCCCCCTTTTTTTTAATGATTAATCCTCAAATTTCCTCTTGATTTGCGTGTTAGCGCGTTCGCCAACGCGCGAGCGACAAAAAAAAAGAAGGCGACCAGGTGGTGCGTCTGATTTGTAGGATTGTCTGGGATCGGTCTTCCATGGATGCGAATTGCTCGTTCAAGATGTTGCACTCCACAGGGACTTCAAGATGTACTTGCATCTTTGGTTGCGCTGCCAATAGAAATCTCAGCAGCCAATGAAGCCGATGGATCCACTTTGGACTTTGGACGAGCCGAATTCTTGGGCATCACGAGCCCATTTGGGTGCTCCCGAAGCAATGAGTGAGTCAGTCGTCGGTTGGTTAGCTGCGAAAAAAATGAGCACCGTCCTACATCACCTTTTTGTCGCCCCTGTTTTGCACATGCTTTTGCTCTCCAAATTGCATAGATGTAGGTGCTTAGGGCAAGCCCGTCAACATGGATGACATCGACCTCTTGGCGGTTCTCTGCGCTGTTTCCATTCATCACCTTTTTAGGGCAGATCTTCAATCTCGCTCCTTCCTGCCATCGCCCAGGGGGGCCCGCCGCCAGGTCTCTCTGATTGTGCCAGCATCAGCTTGAACGCGCGGGTCGCAGCCATCAACAGGCCGCTCTCGAGACGACGAACCGGAAGGCGAACGACGTAGAACCCACCGCCGTCGGCCTGGCGACGTTTTGACTCGTGCGGGCCAGGAGGATGTTTCGTCCCACGGATTGAACAAGCCATCGAAGTCGGTTTGACTTGGATGAAGTTCTTTCATGTTCTTTCCATCGAAGTCGTCATGCACGTAGAAAACAGAATCAAAAGACACATGTTCCAAAAACCACGCTCCCCCGTGGAGTAAGTGACTGTATACCGCGCTCCTACCCCTGGATTACCCATCCCTCCCGTCCAGGCCCACTGGCCCAACGGCGGACACGGTGGGGGGTGCCCAGCGGTTCGGTGGAAAATCGATGCTCCGGTTCGGTGGTCCGGGCAGGTCAAGCAGTGGTTCGTTGAGACATGTTACCATCCATTTTTTTCCATCTCTGACCAGGCCGGTCGGGTCATAGAAAAGGGCCTGCCGGGCTGCGGGCTGTTGGACCATCCTCTCGTCGTGTGTTCGGAGGGTCCATCGCACGACATGTCCAGAGATGCCCAGAAACATGGCGTATCTGGCGGCAGGGAGGTACACGCGGCGCACGAGTGTCGAACCACGAGCTTCAAGAAACCACCTGGTTTTGAGAGAAAGACTTGAAATCGTAGGTCCTTTTTGGAGCTTCGAATCGCTTCGAGGGAGCTCCAAAAGATGGAGGTTGATGGAGGGACGTGTCGGGAGTAACTGGGGGTAGCCTTTTGCAGATGGTGCTGCACTTCCATATACACACGTCCTTTTGCTGCGCTGAGGCCTTGCGGGCAATGGCACAAGCATTGGCAGGCGGGAGGGGCATGTTGTAGGGGTGTAGCCACTTGGTCGATCATCACGCCGTGGCAGTTCCTGAGACAGCTAGACTCAGCTAGACTCAGCTAGACTGCATGCCGTGGCAGTTCCAGAGTTCATAGAGTCTGAAAGAGGTGGGAATTGTCCTCGAATTGTCCTGACCATTAAACATTCTGTTGGGGGTGTCTGCTCTTCCAGCCCTCGCTGAGCTGGAAGAATTCTGGGCGTGAAACTCTCTGAAAAGCATCCTATCATGTAGGCCCCTATTCCCGTACGGCCAGCAGTGGTTTGTTAGGTTGTGGGCCAGCAGCGGGAACAGGGCATGCCTTTTTCTTTCTTCATGGAATCCTTTGTAGATCTCTTCCAAGCAAGTACATATAATATGTTTTTTAAAGGATTTTTTAGGTTGCATATGTCTGGCTCATATGGCACTTGCCCTGAAGGATATCTACCAGAGTTTCTTTCTTACACCCTGGCGAGATTCTACACTAGGTGCTTATCTCTTGACCCTTCATGTTGAAGTTTCGGCCAATCTGCCTTCTGCGATTTCCTCCTGCCTTCTGCGACCAGTGGTCCTGGGTCTGCTTCCCAAAGCTGATTCATGGAATACCTACAGACTCGTGAGTTTTTCTTTGAATTTGCCTCAAAACTTGCAGAGACCCTTGATTGGAAAGCGATATTGGGTGGCTGTCCATGGAGACCCTTCTTCCCTATGGGAGACAAAAACCACGTGATACCGGTGGTGGAGACCCCCGCCGACGTCGGGCCGATTGGGTGTCCACCGGGATCTGCCGATCCAGCAAGGAGCTCGCTATTCAAGCTCTATGGCAGCTAGAGACCGAGGGGTGTCGGTGACCGTGCGGTTACCGGTGCGGTTCTGCGAGCTGTGCGACCTGGTTGATTGCAGCGGATAGACACAACCTGACTACCACCAAGAAGGGTTCTCTTTGACTACGACACGTCCTCATGAGTCCTCATGGATCAAGATGGCACTTAAACGTAAGAGGTCGGTTTTTGCCATGCTCTGTTCTGCTCTCTAGCTGATCTGCCAAGACTTGACACAGTTCTAGGCTCGAGGTCGGCGTTTCCAAAACCAGACACGTTTGAGTGGAAATTCGAAGACCTACGCCATGGCTGCCTCGGATGAGAACGTGGAAGAGCCCATGGCACAGCCAAAGGTGGGCAGGATGAGTGATGTCCTCATGGAGCAAAGATTGCAACAGCGTAATCAAGGTCAGTCGTTCCACGATGTTCTCGATTTTGTCAAAGAACTATACGTTGGTTGAAACACGCTGCGATCGGGCTTTCTAGCTGTTGAAGTGCAACAAAAAACACAGCCGCTGTGCAATTGAACTCAACGCCGTGACATTTGCAGCAGTTAACGTAGCAAGAGGCATCATCATGTGATTCATTTTCAGCTTCAATATCAACGATTCTTCGTGCGCCACATCTCTTAGAGTGCGTCCTACCAGCTGCTACCCTCCCCCTGCTGACCCTTCACTATTTCTGACCCGAAGAGTTGGTGGAAGACGAAGCGCCATCTTTTTTCCCGACATGCTGCGCCAGGCCAACTTGCCGACTTGCTACTTCTTGGCCACCAGCGCCAAGTGCACCAAGGGCTATGAGGGCGAGTACCAATGGGCTGCTGGGCGTTTTCGGTCTTTCTCGCTTCGGCATGGTTTGCCATTTTTCTTCATTTTTTCATCTTTCAAGCTCGGCCCCCCAAGCTGTTTCATGAGTTGCCGTGTTGCTATCCGATGCCCATCGGGCTTTGGGGCCAAACAAAACACCTCAAACGAGTTGTGAATGTTTCGCGTGCTGCCTCCACCCAGCAGTCACATGATAAGCACAGACTTTTTTCATATCTCACTCTTTTCAGGAAAGGCCTTGTGCTTTTCTCATCAACCCACTGCATCTTCCAGACTGATCGCTCTTTCTCCGAACTGGTGACCCACAGAACTGATCAGCCACGTCTTCCTTTTTTCGCTTCGACTCGACACCCGGATCGACTCGACTTCGTCGTCTCCGGATCCCATCCGACTCCGCCGAAGTCGAGGTCATCGAGTTGGAGAAGGGTTGGAGCCCCTGGTTCCCCGGCAATGAGCCCTACTACGGCGAGACCGACGCGCCCGTGAAGTACACCTTGGGCCGCTATGACTTCGAGGCTTTGATGTTGGTTCTTTCGAAGACGGCGGTTTTTTTTTGGGTGCTGATATGGGGTGGAGGGGAGTTTGATCTTGAGAAGTTGAGCTCTTTTTTGTTGCCAAACGTTTCTGTTTACGTGGTTTGTGTTCGATTCCCTTGGACCATTTCTGGAACCATCGTGTAGTAGCATCATGTAGACTCTTGATTGATCACCTCTCCCAGTTGGCTTGAACAACCTCCTCATATGGTTGATTAATCAAGAGTCTACAGTCTACATTACTCTAGATCACTTTGAAAAAAGGATGTTCTAAGTATTTGTCCGTCATTATACATTTACCATATATTATACAGTATACATATAATTGTATATCATACACATAATCACATTCACACCGGTGCGATCAACATCAACGGCCCTTGCAGGGCCGTGTCTCTCACGGAGCTGTTTTGGGGTCACATGCTGGACCGCCTGGAGGAACATGCTGCAGTCATTTCAGTACGAGCTTTTTCCATGGCCCGTTTCCATCGGTCGAGTGGCGGTTGAACCAGCTTTCAACCATCAACTCGCTCAGAATCGTCACGAAACTCACGAAGTAGAGATTTCACCATGTCATCCACCAGGAGTCGACTTCGCGGAGTCCGGCGGAGTCCTTCTTTTCGAGTCGATTCAACCCAGGACATTCATCGATGACCCAAACGCATCTTCGTCCCTCGGAATGGGGTTTCTGTCTCACGCTTCGGTGCCCCAAAAGCGTCGTTGGACGCGCAATCTTCGGGTACCTGAAAAAAGCGCTGACACCTGAGCTGACTCTGACGCCTGAACTGGCGCGTCGGTCTGTTCTGAACGCATGGCCGTCACGAGAGAACGACGTTCAGGTGCACTTCGAGTCGGATACCCAGGGCACCCAGACGAACTTGACCACGGGCAAGGTCCGGCGCGTCCAGAAGCTCCAGACACTTGGTCGTCGACCACATCTCCGCCGATAAAGGGAGAGATCGTCGTGTGCGAACCGGGGTCGTGTGAAACCTAAGCTATTTCCACCGGACTAGGGGCATGGTAGCTGCTGACCTTCTTGCCAGTTCGTGGAGTTAATTTTTGGAGGTCAATCAGACTTCGGGGCTTTTGACCCATGAGTCCACGCTAGAGGAAAGAGTCTGCGATGTCTGGCTTTCCAAAAGGGTCCTTACTTCCGGCACCTCGAACCATTTCCAACGTGCCATTTCCACGAATGCTCAGGAAGGGTGAGCCCATGCCCGCCTGGGAGGGCACCGGCATCCGCCGCCGCCCTGCCACCGGCGCCGGCGGCGCTCCTCCCTCGGGCGGTCTCAACAGCGCGCCGGCGACGTCGGCGGCCAAGCAGGCACAGGCGAACCGGGAGCAGCGTCGGGGGGGCTATGATGCGAACAAGGCGGTGCAACCACATGCTGCTTGGCGAGATGGGACGGGATTGCATGCTTGGCAGCCACCAGGGATGTGCTGATCTGGAGACTGGAAGGGTCAGTTGGAAGCTGTTCTTTCTAGTTCTTGGAAGATGAAGGTGTGACTCTTTTCATTTTGCCTGCCGAACTGGTTGGGCAAAGCATGACCATCTGCCAGGTTGAAACATGTTCAAATGCTAGTTCTCATGCTAAGCTCCTGAGCTCGACCTCCTCCCCAAAGGGTTTGGCATCCAGTGTCCCTAACGGTCCCGGTTGGTCATCCGGTGTCCCTTCCCTATGCCAAGCACATGGATCTCCTCATATTTCCATATGTCCAGCAGCACCCAGTAGTGCCCGGCACTTGGTCACTCCCTGCACATCACCACACTTGAAACGGTGCCTCACCGTTTCACAGGCCAATCTCGGCTGAAATCCGGCCACTCAAAGGCCCTTGGCAAAGACCGCTGGGTTCCTCGTCTCCGTCCGCGGTCATCGGCCGCACGGTCACGTCGCTGAGCCCAGGCGCTGCGACCACAGGTCTCCCAGTCCGCGTACCAAGCGTCGCCCGTGGCGGCGGCTCCCGTGAAGCCCAAGGCGACAGCGGCGCGTACCGCGCCCAGTGGGCCGGCGCCCGCGCCCGGTGGGCAATTGCCACGGTACATGAGGCCTTTGAAGTCCAAGCCTTAAGGATAGCTTTGGGGGAAGAAGTTGGATAGCTTTGGGGGGATGGACGTTGATTTGATGGGGGTCCGCTGAAGTATACTTAGTACATATACTAACATATACATTGTCCATCTAATTTCAGCACGATCTTTTCCAATGAATGAAGGACCTTGGACGACTTGTGTGCAAACCCCGGAGAGGCACGAGACCTAGGCAGGCCGAATCGAGCATCGAGAGTCAGATTAGGAGTCAAATTGTCACTCCATTGATTGGCAGTTCTCTTCAGGTGGATGAAAAGCTCAGCTAAGATTCTCCCAAAACTTGCATCCACCCACCAGGGCCTAAGCCATTGATACTCGACCACTTGACCAGAACAGACAACTGAAAACTGCAAAGCTTAGACAAGAATCTCCTGCGCTTCTTCTCCTGTTCGAAGTGAAGATGGTGTTCCTACGGCTTGGCCATGTTGCCAGATTGGTGTTCCCATGTGTTCCCCATTTCGATCTCTAAGACCTAGCTCTAGCCTGTAAGACCTAGCGATCTTCCAAAATGTCTCTAATGGCTGAGTGAAGAGATGGATGGAGGCAGCCGATCCGTGCGGGATCCCGACACGGATCGGATCCCTAGGGTTTGACCACACGGAGCGCGAAAAGGGAGGGACCCCAAAACGCTCACTCACTCCAAACACACGAAAGGGACCCGAGCCGCACATGTTAACTTTAAAAAACACATGGTTTTGAGCTCATGATTCAAACAGGCAGGTTTATGTGTACAGTACAGTTGGTGTTCAACACTTGTAGGATGCTCACATATACACACACAATAGACTTGGAGATACACTTATGTAGAACAACATCCAGAACACCCTTTCAGAGCACATGAATGACTGGATGAAGAGTGGACAGGATGTTCTCTAACATATCTTAGGTGCTGGTATTTGCACGACTCAACCCTCAACAGCACGACTCGTATTGTGCTCTGCAACGACTCGTTGTTTTTGATGTCTGGTGCTCGAGTCGGATGTGAGGGTGACGTGACAAGTCTTCGCACTGAAACGGCATCCTCGCACTGCCAGCTTCGGGACGGTTTGTGCTCACACGACGGCTGACCAGTTTTGTGGGGTCAACAAGGTTCGCCTCCACCACATGCCAGGGAGGAGACCAAAAAGCCTTGACCCACTACCTTTGACCTCTCAAATTTGAATACGAGAGGCCTTCGTTCGTGCAACTCCGATCACTCGTTAATGAGTTCTCGGAGCGAGACTGAAGAGGTCTTCTCTCGCGGAAGAAAGATTGAGCCGAAGGGGCAAGCGAGTGGATCAAAAAGGGATGGTTCGTTCTTCTAGCCAAGTTCTATGGAAGAGGGCAAAAACCTATACAACCATTTCCAATGTAAAGGATTTCAATTGCCATATTGGAACAAGCATTTGTTTCTGGTTGTTTGGGGTTCCAGGTAGACCATTGGATGATTGGGAATCTCTTCAAGATCTTGCAACTACATTTGGAAGTTGTGCCATTGAACAGATGGGAAGTGCTGCATAAAACTGGCGATGTCCCATGGGGGTCTTGGGGGTTTCTGATTCGGTTCATTCTCTTAAAATGAAGCAGTGCAAGTTGCTGTCCTTGGGGCGCCAAAGTCTCCGCAAGTCGCATGGTCCAAGTGTTGGCCGCTTGGGTTTCAAGGGCACCAGATTGAATGCCTGGGCCGTTTGCTCCATGGAGTGGGAGGAAAGGGGCGCATATTGGTGGGTTGCTGGCACACACACACACACATTGACACCGAGAAGTGTTATTTGGAAGAACGCTATAGAATGGTGTCAAAGTCGCTGACCTCCTAAGTCCACAACTTCCAAATGATCATTCAAGTGGGTGACACCGTCGCTTTGCTAAAGATCATCGTGGTACGCGACACGAACGAGCGACACATGCCAGTCTTTCAGAAAAGTGGAGTCGCAGCAGCTTGAAAGCAATTCACACACATCCCATTAAGCAGGTATATGAGTCGAGTGCGCCCACAGCCACCCTTCCTGAACCCCATCGCCACGTTGGCACTAGGGAGACAGCTGAACCATTTGCCCCGTCGAATTCCATTTGGCCAACGAATCTGCCGCTGAAAGCGGGACAAACACACGCACATCGAGCCGTCGAGAGCAGTCCGTATGCAGTCCGGGACGCTTCGAAGTTCGGAGTTGACCAGTTCAGAGTTGACCAGTTCGGGGTATGGCTGTCCCCGACGACCCGAAAACGACCCGAAAGCCGGCCCAGTTGAGCGTGGCGCTTTCGACGGCAGAGCTCAGCACTTTGGTGGGGCGCCCGGTCAGTTGCTGGGTGGGATGAGGCCGCCACGTTGACAAGGGAGTTTGTTTTGGGTGATTGGTGTTGGTTCATGTGTTGAAATGGGTGGAGAGACTCCTCTTGGCATCATCCAAGCAGGGAGAATGTTCTCCGATATGATTCCAAACAGCTTAGAAGGTACCAAATGATTCTTCAATCAAAATTTTCTGACACGCTGACCCTCAGGAGGGTTCTTTGGAGCTCTAGGGACGTCTTGGATTCGTGCAGTTTCATTTTTTGTACGAAGTACCGGCCTTTATTGTAGCCATTTTGGCTTCAGTGGAGTCATCCATCCGGAGGAAACACTCCTGGAGACGATGACACATGCCAACTCGGTGCTTTGTGCCCAAGTGAGTCCTTTTCTTGCTTTGCCTGTCACCAACACAAGGACGATTCCATGTTTTTTCCGAAAAAGGCGGAGCATGAGCATGGCTTTACAAAATGCCACGCCACTAGGTGGGCCCGACCACGATTTGTTCACCAAAAAAAGAACTGGATTGGCTGCATCAGGACCAGAATCTCTTTGGATTCCTTGGTGAACTGCCCAGCGATCAGGGACTACAGGCGAGACGGTTGAACCGAACCCCAAAAAATTCAGTTCTCTGTATAGAAGTGGGTTGAGAGGGCTCAAACCCACTAGCGGCTAGCGCCGCATCGCCATGTTTGGATGGTTATCCAGATGACTTAGGCCAAAGTGGCCCGATATGACATACAACTTTTCCAGGGAAAGTCCTAAGTCATATAGAGGTGTGAACATAGGCCAGTTTGGCGACAACCTCTGACAGATCGTTGGTGACAACCTCTGACATCTCTGATGTTGAGTTTTTTCAAACTTCAGCTTGATGACATAGGACTTCGTGACCCTAGGGCAAAACTTCATGACTTAGCCGCAAAATTTTCGAGGTATTTTCCACAACTCCTTTGTCACTTCACCCTAGTATATTGGGTCTGTCCTATTACCTGTGACAGTGAGTAAACAATTATCTATATTTTTAAACAAGGCCTTTACTAACCATCATCATCCACTGTTACTGGTAATTAGATAGACCCAATATATATATATAAATACATATATATATATTATTTACTGTATGCATGTATGTATTGGTATGTATTGGCATGTATTGGTATGTATTGTAACGTATTGTAATGTATTGTAATGTATTGTAATTGAATGGCATGTAATGGTATGTATTGGTATTGTATTGGTATTGCATTGGTATGTAATGGTATGTAATGGTATGTATTGGCATGTATGTATTGGTATGTATGTATTGGCATGTATGTAATGTAATGTAATGTAGTGTAATGTAATGTAATGTAATGTAGTGTAATGTAATGTAATGTAATGTAATGTAATGTAGTTATGTATGTATGTATGTATGTATGTATGTATGTATGTATGTATGTAT